TCTGCATATATATGCCATATATATATATATATATATATATATATATATACGCCACACCCGAAACTTTGCAGCGTGTGAGCTGTCACTGGTCCTCTAAGCATCATGAGAAACAAAACTTATTCAAATTCTGAATGGATTAGCCAAGAAAGCGCACAAAGAGCACTCCCTTTATAATAATTAAAAAGCTGTCACTCATTTCAGTTTATCGCGATCGCACAAAGTTAATCAATGAAGCTCTACACTGCACAATGAATCTCTTATTCACATCATGTTACACTTTTTGTTATATAGAGACTCCCGATGGTGTAGCACTGAACAAAACTGTGGCATGCAGTGGATTCTAACTTAAAACGCTTGGCCACTGAGTTCAGGAAATCAACAGCAAATGTCGGTGATTGGCTATTGATCAGTGCTACAAAAACACGTTGAAAATAGAAACCTTTGAAGCACTCCAAAGTTCAAACACACTGGAGCCTTTGGAAAACATGTTTCGCCAGTATTCTATTTCTTCAACTGACGCTCTCTTGCTTTCGTTTCGTTCCCTCTAGCACTCCCATACAACTGGCCCTGGATACAGTCCATTGCAAAGAAATATGTAATGAGCATTTCATACATGTTTTTAGGAGTGAAAAATTATCAAGATAAAAATATCGAAGCCAACGGCTTTCGTAAAGCAACAGGTTACTGGTAACCACGTCAGTAGCGCGAGAGGGCGCTTAGGACTATAGACTCTGGAGATGCTAAAAAAGCTAGAAATTAAATTTAGCATTTATTTACATTAAAAAAACAAGATTTATATCCTTTTTTCGATTTTTTATGAAATACGGATTTTGAATAATGAAAATGAGTTTGTGTTTGCTTATTCTATTCATCAGAGTTTGAACCATTAAAGAAGAAATGGCGCTTTCCGTATTTCATTTCTGGGTTAAAAAACAAAAAAAGAATGGACGCAAAAGTACACTGACCTGGTTTATTGGCCTTAAAGAGAAAGAAAGAAAAAGAAAGAAAGAAAGAAAGAAAGAAAGAAAGAAAAGAAAACAAAAAGATAAAAAAGGAAAACAAAAAAAGAAAAAGGAAAAAAAATAATAAACAAAAAAGAAAAAATAGAAAGAAAAAAAATGGAAAGAAAAAAGAAATAAACAACAAACAAAAAAATAAGAAACAAGAAAAGAAAGAAAATGAAATAAAGAAACAAAGCAAGAGAACGTAAGAAAGAAAAACAAAAAACAAACAAAAAGAATGAAACAAAGAAAGCAAATGGGAAAAAAGAAAAACAAAAAGACTGAAAGTGTCTGAAATGTCATCTACTGTAAATAAATTTGTAAATAAGTTTATATATTTCATCACAGGTTTGAAGAAACTTTCATTTCTGTTGATACATCACCTCCTGGATTTTTTAAACAAAGTTCAGTAATGCATATGCGTGTTTGTGTGTGTGTCTGTGTGTGTGTGTGTGTGTGTGTGTGTG